ATTTTCATTTCTCACTTTATGGATCCATTTTGACTTTTTTTTTTCAAAATAAGAAAAAAATCTGTCCTTTCAAAAAGGACAAATGTTTGTTCCACTAAGCATTATTAAAAATAATATGCTCGGGACCAGCAGATGGTGTAATGTTTACATTTTGGACTTCCACGTAGTTGACCACGGTTCAAGTTCTGGACCCAGCAGCTTAAAACTCTCGCCAGGCATGTATGCATGCATGACTAAAATCCCAAGAGGAGAATGAAGAAAAAGGGATTGTGGTACAGCAATCTCCCCCGGGAGTGATTTTTCACTTTCTCTGTCTTTCTCTGTCTCTCTGGTGAGCACATGTCCCCTGTAGCAAAAATCTCTAAATAATATTTTGACTGGCAAGCACATGGTCCCTATAGAAAAAAAAAAAAAAAACTCTCAAAAAAAAAGAACAAAGAGATGAAGGCAACTCTGAGAAGGATGCTGGCCAGGAAGTCCCAGGTTACTTTCTGACCCAGGCTCTGCTTCCTCCTCTGAAGGACAAGTTACCAGAGGAAGGGGCAGCAGGAAGAGCAATGGGCACTCGCTGGCTCAGCACTCTCCTTTTCCAAAACAGAGGCCTTAGTTTCTCCTTCTCCAGTGCCCTACTCTCAGTCCAGGGAGGTGGAGAAACCTCTGCAGAGCAGGTGACACCCATCCACTGGGGGACCAGGCACCACACAAGACAAACTTTAGGAAGTAACCAGCCATTTCTACAGCTATTGCTCTGTCCCATTGGTTTCTTGCCCTTTCTACCCCTCCCCTTTTTGCCTCTTCCTCTCTTTTTTGCTTTTGTCAATTCACAAAGTATAAACTGACCTATCAGACCACTAGTAAATATCCTGCATCCTGCGTCCTGGGAGTGGCCCATCTTGGCACAGTGAGACCCACTTCTTCCTTTGCTCCTATCCTAAAAAATGCCTGGCAAGATCCACATGTCCATAATAACTAAGAAAGAAAATAAGTGAGTCTCCTATTATCTTCATCCTAAACAAGTAGCCCCTCAATTAGAACCTAGCAAGTAGCAAATTCTCAATAACCATTGGTTCACAAAGTAAGTAATGAAGGAAGGAATGTGGATCCCTCTAAAGAGTATTTTCTCTTACCTCACTCCGGGAAATAGAAGGAAGTGAATATAATTTCCCACTACAAAGTTTTTTTGTTTGTTTGTTTTGTCTTGTTTTGTTTTGTTTTCTGAGACAAAGAGACAGAGAGTTTTGGCAAGATCTTGTCATGTCATGATCCTCCTGCCCCATCCTCCTAGTTAGCTGGGACTACAGGCATGTGTCACCACACCCGGAGTGTTTAAGTTGGGCAGGAATCAAGCCAGGCCTCTCATGCAGCCTCAGCCTCTGAGCAGCCGCTTCAGCTGCACTTACCTTGTACCCGTGCCTTGTCTAATAGCTTATGCATCCCCAGTGTCTAGTACATCCTGTCACTTGACCAGCTCCCCATTAGTGTTAGAAAAATGGGGGGAGGGGAATGAATGAGATAAAAGAGGCAGTGGGAGAGAAACATGAAAAGGAACATTTCATTTTACCAAATAAAAGTATCATCATAACAAGATAGTGTCAGAGGAAACTAGCAGGGAGGAGAAATCCGGGGGGTCAGGGGTAAGACAGTGCCTACTCTCTGCTTCGTCCTGAGTCCTCCTCACACAGGACTCAGGGGACAGTCTGTGCTCTGAAATTCCTGCCCCGAGTCTCTCCACCTCCCACTTTAGCCTGGGCCACTTCAGGTCCCCACCTGGTTCGGGACCTCATTCTAGGTCCAGAGGAAGAAAGAGTTAGAGGAAGCAGAACAAATGCTCAGCTGCCATCACACCTCCCAGTCAGCGTTAGGAAAGTTCCTGGAAGAGAGTAGCCATGGCCAAGAGATCTGCCTCAGTCAAGACTGCCTTCGTGCCAAAAAAAGGAAAGAAAAAAGCAGTGGCAACTATGTGCGGTGATAGGTATGCAGGTTTCCTTGATTTTGCTGGTCATTTTGGAATGTGCACTTTTTAACATATTTTTTCTTTCTTTCTTTCTTTTTGTTTTGTTGCTGTTGTTGTTGTTGTTGCTAAGGGGCTCATGTATTCACCAGAGAGAGAGAGAGTACCCCTCAAGGGGGTAATGGTCGCCCACAGTCTTTTTTCCTTCCATTTCTCCATCACATCAGGATTGTGGGCACACATGCATGTGTGTCCATGTGTTTTCCAAACTGTTGGAGCCGGGATCCAAACTACAGTCAGCCCCTTGGCCAAGCGGGATCTGGCTCCCTATGCATAGTGCTTAACTGCTGACATGTGGGTCAGGGCCTCACAACATATGCATTTATTAAAAACACCCAGTGGTATACCTTAAATACTGGGTTGTCAGAAAAGTCATGATGTATTTTTGTAATATATACCATTTTTATTTGGAAGAAGAAGGAGGGGAAGAGGAAAAGAACTTTTGTCGGTGGCTCTGTATGTCATAAAGATGATCTAGCCTATTTGACTGGACAAAAAAAAAAAAAAAAAAAGAAACCGCAGCTTATTTCTTTTCTCAGGGGATTTCATAATTCAGTGGACAGCATGATTAACATTGGAATAAAATAAATGTAGAAGCCACTCTGGGGAAAAGGGAATAAGTATAGATCAGGAACAAGAGTTTTCCTGAGAACTGCAAAGCCTGGGCCTCAACTGCCTTAGAGCATTGCTTGTGCCAAAGAACATGGCATTTTGCTTTGCTTATTTTATTTTATGGATCATTTTACAACTGAACTTGGTAAAATCAAACTGAGCATAAATGCATAAAAACAGTTCCATAGTATAGGTACGAAGTAAAGATTCATCAACATTCATATCATAACCTACTATAATAATAAATGAATTAATAATTTTTAAAAATTGCCTTCATGCCTGCTCCCTGGCTTGTAGCTATTCTTGATCCTCCTACCCTCAAGCTAAGATCCTCTACAAATAAGATTCTATTGTTCGATTTCTTCTGCAAAAATGAAGGCCAGGGCTGTGGGGCTGAGTATCGCAACCCCAGCTTTTGTTGCATTTGTGCTCAGCCACTCTATAGAGCTGGTCCCTCAGAGTTTCTAGGGCATGCAACTTTCTGCAAGGTGGGGCAGGGGTAGGGGGATGTTAGCTGAGGCAAGTTAATATCGATAGATAAGATGTGTGAGCTCAGTGAGAAGAATGGCCATCCAGTTCTACCCTCTCATACACACAAGGTTTACTCCTAAAACCCTGTAGACTTGGGAAAAAACCTTTTGTCCCATAGTAAGAATAGCATGCAACACCCCTGGGAGAGGCAGCATCATGTTTAAATTCACACTAAAATGATGTCTAATATCAAGTTATTTTCTGAAAGTTTGTTTTCATTATATATAGTGGAAGGGACAGACTCCCCACCCCTCATCTAACCCAACATGTCCCCTACACATGGGGCCTTCATTTGGGAGTCAATGGTTTCTCAGAAGATCAATCTGACTGTCTAAACTCCAGAGGTTATTGGGGTGGGAAGAGTGTAATCAGCAATATGAGACATCTTGGGAAGGCAAAGAAGGCAGAAAGACAGAGCAAAAATTTCTCCCAGCTAATTCAGAAATGTGGTAATTAAATTATAGATTTAGAATGCTGGATTGTCAAAGCAGGAAGAAATCTCAGAAAAATCCATCTAGACCAAAACCTTCACTTTGAAGAAATTGAAGCACAGAGGATGGAAATGACCTACAAGTTTCAGACTATCAACAAGTAACAGAAACAGACCATAAGACACACATTTCCTGATTCTTCTCTTTTACATAGCTCATAATCATGGAATAAGTAAAGTTCTGCAAACAACATCCTTAAAAACAAGTGGGGCACAAAGAGAAAAAAAGAAATGAAGTGTCTGGGCACTCCCATAGTGCAGGGTTAAACACGGTGCATAGGGAACCAGATCCTGTGGGCTGACTGAAGTTTAAATCCCAGCCCTGCAGCTTGAGAAACACACAGGTCACGTGTGTGTGTGTGCCCCCAGTTCTGGCAGGATGAAGAAATGGAGGAAAAGGAATTGCAGAATGATCATACTCATCAGAGGTTCTTTCTATCTGGGGGTCTGGGGGTGGTGTGGGAGGAGTGTCCCAGGTGCATACATCTCAAGAATTATAAGTTGACCTACATGTCTCTGTTTTATCTCTGATGTCCAGAGATAGGGTTCATTTTAGAGCTCTTCATGAAGAATAAGGAAATCTGTGAATCCCTTGAAGTCACTTATTTTAGATTCTTGGAGTCCCTTCCCTTCCTTTTCATATTCCATCTTTGTCAAAAACTCACCCATACTTCAAAACCAGTTTAAATGCTACCCTTCATGAATCCTTTCTTAATCTCTTTTTCCACATCCTCCAACTACAAATTATCTCTCCTCTTATGAGTTCCTTGGGCACATTTTTAACCTCTCTTATGATGCTTATGACACTGTTTCTTGAATTATAACCGTTTACCTTTTCATTCCTATTAGTCCTTGATGTAAAAGAACCTTTCAGCCAATGTTCAATCCCTCTATAATTTCTTACATACACTTGGTGATCAATAAAAGTTTGTTGAATTGAATTGGCAGAGAAAGAAACCCACATCTTTCTGTTTTAAGTTCAGCCTACTTTCTCTTCAGTTGAGACAAAAGGTGGCTATGACCCACAGCTTCAGTGTCCACCCACTCAGCCTCAGACAATTTTATTAATGTTGCTGGTGGTAGTTCCCTCCAGGAAGAACATGCAGTCAACCACTCCAAATCAGGCACTTTATTCAGGATACAGTGGACTCTTTCAGAAATGAAAGTGCCATCAGGGGCACTGAGCAAAGGTCTGAAGTCCAGTGCACCAATCACACATCCCTGGAGAATAGTCACGGTCCAGTGGTGTCACTACAGCATCCAGGGCCCAAAGACAATCAGCTTCAAGGGGTAGACAGAAAAAACTGAGGTAGCATTAGGGAAGAAGCATTTCAGGAGCAACAGGACAGCAGGCGTTCACAAATCCTTGCAGAGCCACTGTTCCAGTTGCTCAGAGCAGAGCGCCTCATAGGCCAACCTAATAATAGAGAAGGAGATAAGGTGAGTTGTCTGTCTGGGTCTTGGCTCAAATTTCCATCTAGCTTCATCCCTGGGAGGACTGAGTTGTGGATGATAATTACAGAAGATTTTCCCAGCAAGAGGAGGGGCCCAGACACAGTGGTATAAGTAGTAGAGTAGCACTGTGTGATGTTAGAGCCATACGGGAGACCCGAGTTTGGATCTTAGGTCAGCCTGTACATGCTGGACACACCCATGATCCTAGATGTCTGGAAGGCTAGAGAAAGGATCATAGGGTGGTAAAGCCATGTTGAAAGTACCTGTCTCACTCTCTCTCTCTCTCTTTCATGAAAGGAATTAATACATTTTAAAAGGGTCAGCCCATGGCCTGGTGGCTTAGGAAACTGGATCCCACATGGCTGACCACTAGGTTTGAGTTCTGGACCTAACAACTGGAAAAATGTGCAGGGCTTATGTGATCATGTGACCAAAATCCCATAAGGATGAATAAATAGAGAAGAAAAGATTGCAGCGTGATCATTCCCCTTGGGGGACAGGAGAAGTGCTTTCTCCCTACCTCCCAAGTACACACACCCTCTGGCGAATTAAAATAAATAACTTTTTAACTTTGGGACCAGTAGGTGGCGTGGTGGTTAAGGTGCTAGACATTCCCACATGGCCAACCAAGCTTTGAGTCCTGGACCTGGTGGTTTGCTTTCTCACTTTCCTTTTCTCTCTCTGTGTCTTTCTCTAGTCAAATTTAAAAATAAATGAATAAATAAATAAAAACTAAATAAGTAATTCTTTAAAAAAATAAATAAATAACTTTTTAACTTTAAAAATAAACTTTCTCAGCCTAATGATAAGAAATATTAGGCCATCTAGTGGAGTAGGGTCCACTAAAAAAAAAAAAAAATTTTTTTTTAAATCCAAGAAAATTGTAGGGCTAACAAAGATATGCAATGATACCAAGGGTTTGTTTCAGGGTATCGAACTAAACAAGTGGCATTAGATGCTCAAGCCCAGTTGATGGAAGGCCTGTGTCCCAGCCTCCATCAAGGAACCCCTTATTAGGAAAGTTGCTACACAGAAGTAGAACAAGGGAGGCTTTAAAAAAGTGAAACCAGAGTCTGCTAAGTGAGTTTTGTCTGGAGACTATGTTCTGCATTAAATAACCAGGAGACGGAGAGAGGAAAGTGGTGTTGGTGCTAAAGGACTTAGAGGACGTAGAAAATAGAATGGAGAGTCACCAGTAGCCCATTCCTTTCCTATCCAGGATCTTCTTGGCACACGCTATGTCATCAGTGAGGTCATCATTCAGGAGCTCTGTCAGGAATTGCAGGAAAGCAATGAGAGAAGTATTACCCCAAAAATCCAACTATTCCCTGGATTTGGTGGATCTGGCTCTCTGAACTGAAGGCTTATACCTTTCGTCTTCCTATATGAGAAAGCCAATACAGCAACGCCTCCCCCTGGATAGGAACTTCTTTCACTTCTCTGGGACATCTCTGGAGAAGCCATCAACTTTATCAACTGACTTACACTGAAAATGCAGAGCTTTAGACTTCAAGCCTCATAGACAGTTCAGATCATCTACCCCTGAGCTTCAGGAACTGTCTGGGAATTTGGTGATTGCCAAATCCCTCCCCCCAAAAAAAAAAAAAAAAAAAAAAAAAAACACAAAAAAACCTTCTTATTCAGTATTGTCAATTCAGTTGCACAGTTTTTTGGCAATTCAGCCAAGCCAGTGAAGCCAAAGAGTGCTCAACACTGAAAAGGAGATTATCCCAGGGTAGACTCCAGAAAAGCAGAGGAATAGGGTAAGAGAGGCTACTCACTTTCACAGGGGATATTACAGATGTTCTTTGACTGGGGGATCTGTTCGCTTTTACACCAATGTTTATTGCTGATCTGGAAGAGTCCATATTCTGTGCTGCCATTATTACTGACTTTGGCTTGTGTATCAAAACCACTGGTATGAAATATGGTACAGATCCCTGAGGGAAAGATGCAGAAGAGGTATCATAGAGACGTCTGGAATCAGCATAAAGAAAGACTGCAGTTCCTTAACAGAAGGTTTTCCAACCAATTTCCAAAAAGGAGAATGCAGAGTATCTTAATGAGATGAGGAGAATTCCAAAAAAAGGATAAAAACAGTAAGCAAAAGGAAAAACAGATGGAATAAAAGAGAATTGGGTAAGCAGAGAAGATTAGACGATGGTTAGATAATTAACTATAAGTGGAGGAGGAAAGAGGAGGAAAAGGATGGAGGAGGGAAGCAGATGAGGAATACAATGAAGCAAGGGAGCAGAGAACTCACATTCAGCTGCAGTGATGTCTTTATAGCCAAATATGTCTTTCAGTCTCTTGTGCAGCTCACATTTTGTCAACCACGTGGCCTGGATGGCAGGGAATAGGGTGCCCACCAGGAGAAGAGGTACAAAGAGCATCATCCTGGCTGCCCCCAAGAACCAGAAATAGGGACACCATGCAGCTCACCTCCTTTTATTCAGGGAGAAAGCCTCTGGGGCCCTGGCACCAAGCCTTACAACCAGGAAGAAGATGAAGAGATATTGGTCATGCCAAGACAGAAACACTGAGCTTGCCAGCTTCCTTCCATAATTCACCCTACTTTTTCTTCCCCTCCCCCAATATCTAGTCCATGTGAAGTATTGTTCTCAGCCCAGAGAAAGTTCCAAGCATGATCCTGTTTCCCATTTGGCTTTGCTTATATCTTTGTTTCTCATAGGGCTGGTTCTAGGAAACTGGATGTCACCAGCCTACATTAAGAACAAAAGAGGCCTCAAGACCAATACAAGAGAAGCAATCAGAAAATACAATAAGGGTCCACGGCCAACTCCTCCCCTAGAGACATACCAAAGTGGAAAGGAAGTATGTGCTATATACGCTATTTATTTCCATGGTCCCAGGATTAGAGCTGGCACTTGTCCAGCCAGCCCAGCCAGGGAACAAAGCCTAGGAAGAAAAACCCCTTGATATGGTGGTTCATGGCTGAGGACTTAGGATGTGGTATAAAATACAGGAATATAGACTATGTGAATCAAGTATCACTTATATCCTGAAGCTTCCTACTTCAGAAAAATGAGTAATTTGAAAAGTATACATTACAGTGGGGCCAGCAGGTGGGGTGGTGGTTAAGGGCACTGGACTCCCACATGACCAACCGCAGTTTGAGTCCCAAGCCTGGCAGCTCCCTTTCTCTCTCTTTCTCTCTCTCTATCCCTCTCTGGTCAAATTAAAATAAAAAAGAAGAAAGGAAGACAGAAAGGAAAGAAAAAAGAAAGCGAAAGAAAGAGAAGGAAAAAAGAAAGTTTAAAATAATTTTTTTAAAAAGTACTTGTTAAAAAAAAAGTATGGTGGCCAGCAGGTGGTGTGGTGATTAAGGCAGCTGGACTCCCACATGGCTGACCACAGTTCGAGTCCCAGACCTGGCAGCTTACTTTCTCACTTTCCTTCTCTCTCTGTGTCTCTCTCTGGTCAACTATAAATTAATTAATTAATTAATGACAATAAATAAAAATAAATTAAATATTTTTTAAAAGATATGTATGATACAGATACATTTGCATAAATTAAGCATTTTGTAAATCCCAAACCAATATCTTTTTATAGATTTATGCATGAGTAGAGGAACTTATAGACAGCCTGAGTTGGCCAGAGAAAGGCAGAAAGAGGATAACCCACACCACGGAGAAGATAGGACTTGAAGCGCTTTAAGATTGGACAAGAATATAACTGGAGCTTTTAAAACTAGTTTTGGGTTCTGAGCTATAAGGTCAGGGCTCCTCAGGAAGTAGAGTTGAGGGAACTAGTTCCAAATAATTCTTTAGTTGGCTGGCATCATGTTAGCCTCCTTTTTTACTGGGATTCATTCTCTTTACTCCAATCTCTAAATCTGATTTCTGACATGTCAGGAGATACTCATCCTAACCAAACTAAGATCAAACTGAAGGTTTTCCACACTGTCATCTCCTACAAGGCTTTTAAGTCAGAGAAAACTCATCTCTGTTTAATTCAGTCTTCTAGACCACAGTAGCCAGTGCAGGAGGTGGCATGAGTGAGAGAAGTGTGGAAGACTGGTGTGCCAAGAGACGTGAGCAGAAAGTCCTGATAGCAGGAAGATGCATGTTCAGAAACAGAATGCTGCCCCTGCATTTCTCTTCTACTCACTGGGAGTTCGAGAAGAATAGGAATTCTATCACACTAACTTTGTTGAGAATATAGCTAGGGGGCAGCAGTTAGTGTAATAGCTGCGTCGCTGGACTCCCATGTAGCTGACCGCAGTTCGAGTCCCGGACCCGGTGGCTTAAACTCACACTGAGTGCGTGTGCGTGCATGCCCAAGATCCCGAAAGGAGAATGGAAAAGGGATTGCAGCGTGGCCATCCCCCTGGGGGGTGATTTCTCACTTTCTGTCTCTCTGTGTCTTTCTGTCTTCCTGGCGAGCACACGCACCCTATTGCAAAAACCTCTCCAAAAAAAAAGCATAATATAGCTATGGATGAGAGGACCATCTTGAACCTTCTGGGAGAGGAACAGGTAAGAATAGCTTGTTGTGAGGATTAGTCTTTCTCATAGTGGAGTCTTATGTAACATTTCTCCTGCCCTAAGCTATGGACTAAGTACCTATGATATGGAAAAATGGCTTACCAGGGTCTCAGGAATCACAAAGGCTTTCTACACTGCCATGGCAGCAGCCTGCTTGCCTAAAATTTTATTGTACCTCTGTCCTTACCTGAATCAATAAAAAACAGCATACTCGGGACCAGCAGTTAGCATAATGGCTATGTCACTGGACTCCCATGTAGGCGACCATGGTTTGCATCCCAGACCCGGTGGCTTAAAACTCACGCTGGACACGTGTGCATGCATGCCCAAGATCCCAAGAGGAGAATGGAGGAGAAGGGATTGTGGCATGGCCATCCCCCATGGAGGGTTCTTGCTTTCTGTCTCTCTGTCTCTCTCTGTCTGTCTGGCGAGTACACAAGTTTTCGAAAAAAAAGAAAAAAAACAAAAAACCCCCTCCCCCCCCCCCCCCGCCAAAAAAAAACCCAGCATACTGGTTAGGAATTAGAACTAAGTGCAGAAAAATAAATGTGCTTCAGGCAAGAGGAAGCATTATCCCTAGAAATGTTTATAAAATAGGTATCTGGGGATCCTCTGAAAAAGAATAGAAAGTATCTATTGGAAATAATTGCAAACATTCAGAGAAAGATGTAAATTCTTGGAGACAGTCCAGAGAAGAACAGCAAACAATGATCATAGCACTGATAGAGGAAGTACACGGAAAGACGTAAGCACAGTTAATGGAGTGAAGCTCCTGCCAAAACCTCCTTACCAGCTCTGTGTAGAGTCAAGATCTGAATCAAGATGGTATAGGGGCATTTACAATATGGTTTTGTGGGTTTGGGTTTTTTTGTTGTTGTTTTTGTTTGTTTGTTTTGTTTTCAGAAATACACTATAGAAAGCTATGTTTATTTTCTTAGATGTTTCAATAAAAATCAGCATTTCTAAAATTAGGAACCCTCTTCTTGGAAGACTTCTAGAAAATGAGGATTCCAGGGCTGGCCCTATGGCCTAGTGGTTAAAGGAACTAGAATCCCATATTGCTGATCATGCAGTTCAAATCCTAGCCCAGCAGCTTGAAAAACACACTGGGGGAACCAGCAGTTAGCGTAATGGCTATGTCGCTGGACTCCCAGATAGTCGACCGCGGTTTGCGTCCCGGACCCGGTGGCTTGAAACTCACAACAGGCGCGTGTGCATGCATGCCCAAGATCCCGAGAGGAGAATGGAGGAGAAGGGATTGCGGCGTGACCATAACCCCTGGGTGGTGATTTCTCGCTTTCTGTCTATTTCTCTCTCTGTCTGTCTGGCGAGCACACGCACCCTATAGCGAAAATCTCTCCCAAAAAAAAAAAAACACCAGGTGCCTGTATGTGCATGCCCAAAATCCCATTCAGTAAGGCTCTTCTGAGCACCACCTGGTATGCTCCAGGCCTGACAGGAAACCAAGGCCAGACCTCTGCAGAACTGGTCTTGGCAGGAGCCTCCATGCCAAGTGCTGCTCCTGCAAGGTCACACTGCCCAGGTCACACTCTAGCAGACAATGACACAAAGCTAGTACTGAGAGATCTGACTCCCCAGAGGCATTAAAAAATCCCCCTACATATCAGTTAAGCATACGGTTTCCAGAATTTTACCATATGGTGTATGCACTGCTGGAGAGAGACAGAGAAGAACAGTGAGAGGGAAAGTGAGAAATCACCCCTCCCACCCCAACCCCCCATAGGCAGTCATGCAACAATCCCTTCTCTTCCATCTCCTCCTGGGATTTTGGGCACACACACACAAACACACACATGCCCAGCATGATTTTCAAGCTGCCAGTTCTGGGACTCACACCACAGTCAGCCCTATGGGAGTCTAGCACCTTAATCACCATGCCACCTGCTGACCTTGAGACCCGTATCTAACTGACACTGAAACATCAACAAACCTCCAGGGACCAGCAGTTAGCGTAATGGCTATGTTGCTGAACTCCCATGTAGGCGACCATGGTTTGAGTCCCAGACCCGGTGGCTTGTGCGTGTGTGCCCAAGATCCCTAGAGGAGAATGGAGGAAAAGGGATTGTGGCATAGCCATCCCCCCGGGGGGTGATTTCTCGCTTTCTATCTCTCTGTCTCTTTCTCGGCCGCCCCCCCCCCCCTAAAAAAAAAACCTCCAAAAAAAAAAAAAAAAAAAAAACCTCCAAATACATAGAGGATCAAAGTGGTCAGGTATGACAACCAGAGACAGCAATAAAACGGTCCAGAGACTGTGAAAGCTCAGCAGGCATTCTGTCCACGGATCACCCTAATTAGCCTCTTGTTCCTTAAGTCACAATAAAAGCTCCTTGCCCCCACCCTTCAGGCCCAATGCAACTCTCTCTAGCCCCTTTCCACTGTCAAAAAAGTGAATAAATTATTTTCTAAACACTTTCTATCTGAGTTTGTGAATTCTTTCACAGCCTATGACCAAGATCACTCTAACATATTGCAGAGATCATCCCAGTACTGGGTCTGGGACTCACCCTTGGATGGGTCATGTGGAATCCAACCACCTTAACCACCACACCACAGGCTGGCCTGGTGACTGTAAGTTTACACAGAGAGCCTAAGGCTACTATTAGGAGGGACTATTCTAAGAGTCCTAATATTTTCGATAATTACTTTTTTTTTTTTAAGAATTATTTTATTGGGGCCAGCAGGTGATGCAGTGGTTAAGGGTACTGGACTCCCACATGGGAGACCACAGTTCAAGTCCCAGACCTGGCAGCTTGCTTTCTCACTTTCCCGATCTCTCTCAATCTGTCCCTTTCTGGAATTATTTTATTTTATTGTATTCATTATTACTATTATTATCTAATTTGACCAGAAGGAGAGAGAGGAAA